TTTTTTTTTTGAGACAGGGCTTTGCTCTTATTGCCCAGGAGGGAATGCAATGGCACAATATTGGCTCATTGCAACCTCTGCCTCCTGGGTTCAAGCGATTCTCCTGCGTAAGCCTCCCAAGTAGTTGGAATGATGGGCGCCCACCACCACACCTGGCTAATTTTTGTATTTTTAGTAGAGACAGGGTTTCACTGTGTTGACCAGGCTGGTCTTATACTCCTGACCTCAAGTGACCCACCCACTTTGGCCTCCCAAAGTGCTGGGATTACAGGTGTGAGCCATCACTCCTGGCCACCAGGATCTTTTAAACTAAAAACTTCTTTTTTTCCTATACAAGCTCTCTTTACTGTTTTCTTTCATGACTGTTCAAGGGTACATTTTCCCTCTTTAAATTCATTCCTATCTTTCCTTTGTCTGTGAAAGACTCCTCAGAGTGTCTGTCCCACCAGGAGCTCCCCTTTTTATTTCCCAGTGTAGCTGTATATTTGTGTATTTATTTGTTTGTAATATAACTTGTATTATTTCAAGGGATTTAGTGAGAAGGGGAGAGGGTACAATGTCTGCTCAGTTTGCCCTTTTGAATTTCAGTTCTTTTTATAACTTCATCTGCCAGAATCATCTTCCTCTAGTCAGATTTCACTTAGTTCATAGTCTGACTTACCACATCACCTTTTTTCAACAAATGGCAGTCTCCAAAGTATCTTCATGTCAGCATACAAACCTTTCTTCAGTGTATGTGTATACACACACACACACAAACACACACACACACACACACACACACAGATTAATTGCTGCAGTCATTTGAAAACCATTACTATAGGTCATTGAAATGAAACTATATTTGAATAATCTTTTGCAATCTTTGGTTTTAGAAAAATTAACATGCAGCATGTAAAGAGGGAGCAAATCCATTAGCTGATTGGCACCTGAAATCATAAAAGTCAATTCAGAGAGCAAAGTAGTATATTGGAAGGGAATAGCAATAATAGCAGGAGAAAGTATTATGAAAACCTGAACTGAGAGACAAGGTGAAACTAGAATTTGCTGAGTGGCAGGGGAAGTGGGCTTCAATGGATGTCGTAAGTCCTGTGCAATGCATGAAATGTATACACTGAAATTTTTTTGCTGTAATAATCCTATGTGCAGACCCTCCATCCTGTTGTGAGGAGTCAGGGCCTAGACCTCAGGGCTCTAGAGTTAAACTCGCATGAGGGTCTCAGGCATCCTGCTCTCCTGGGGCCTCCTGTAAGCACTCACTTGTGGGGCGTTGCCTGATTGAGTGCTTAGGAGTGTATGTGCCAGCTGTGGCTAGGCTGAGCATACCCCTCTCTCCCAGTACCCTCATGCTAGAAACCACTTCTCTTTCTTTTTTCTCCCCAGATTCACTCACTTTTACTTACCTAGAAATCTAAACAGATATGTACAGAAATAAATTTATAGAGATAATTTTGACAAGATTAGTATTTGAACAGTCTCACTACAGTGTTTAAAATGGTCTCTCAGTTACTAATTTTACTATTAATGCTTAGGCCTTAGTTATTTTTATTGATTTACAGAATTTTGCTTTGCACTTAATATTTGCTTTCATAAACAACTTCATAATTGAGTGTATGTCTTCCTAGAGGTAAATTTTGTGGGATTCCAATAATAGTATCATTTTAATCAAGTAATTCTTTTTTCCTTCTAGCACTTATTGTGTTTATCCCAACATTAAATATTACTTATAAACATTGATTCTTTTTCTTCCTTTAAAATTTTTCAACAGTTGTCTTAAGTAAACTTTAAAAATATTAATTTAGAATTTTAAACATCTACATGAAGTCATGAGATGTCTATTATCTCTTTTCACTTCTACAGGCTTAAAATGAAAAATATTTTGAATTATTTATGTTCTTTTAGGACTTAAAAATTAGCAATGAAACTTTCAAACCAATTTATACTTCTGTTGAACACATAATTCCACCTAAACATATAAAAATAATTTAATGCTAAGTCTACAAAGTTTGAAATACTTGGGAAGTACATCCTGAAAAAAAAAACAAACAGAATAATGCATACTTTGAACTTTAAAAATCTATTAGTAACGAGCTAATTTACTCAAGAGTTAAACATATTTGCGAAATAAAATACCCAAATATTAAAACCATTCCACATGCTAAGTAGAAACTTTAAATTTAAAACTTTTTTACCTGGAAATCTAAACTAAGTAGGCTTTGCTTGGTGTCATTTAAGTCTCCAGCTGAAAATGAAACAAAATCAGAGCTTTCTTTAAAACAAAGAAAGGACAGAAGGGAATGTTGAAAAATGTTTGCTGACTTCTTAGTAAAATCTAAAATAACTGCCTCCCTTGGGGATAAATGCCTTTCATTTCTTTGTGCAGAAAATCAGCCAAGAAAGTAACCAGGGAAAATGGTTACCAAGGGAAATATTTTTTTTTAATCATAAGAAAAGTGGAAAACAGCAGTGGGTGTAGGGGCAGAGCATTTTGTTTGTAGACCGAAAAAGCAGAGTTGGAAGCATAAAGCTGAGCTGATTAAGAAATCTGTGGTTTTCACAGGCTATTTACATTAAAAATGTTAAAATTTATACTAGCCAGCATGATGTCACTTGAGCTTTATCAGACTATAGGGATGATAAATATTAGCTAGAGGCTGTATATATCTGTATGGAGTCTCTTTTAAATTGGGTTAATAATATTTAACTCTCTCATCTGCCCACCCACCTCGATCTCACACACAATATTAACAAAACAACAAAAAAATGGTTACGTATTAATGTCAGTGGAAATTATGTAACTTCCTACCATGAAATAATAAAAAGAAAATGTGAAAGGGAGCTGTGTGACTCCTAATTACCTGTTACTCTGGCAAATTAGTTATGTACTTTGGCCTCAGTTTCTTCATCTGCAAATGAGAAGTTAGAGAGAGATCAGGATTCCAAGCACAACCCTGCTGCTTATGAGGGATCTTGAGTAAGTTACTTCATGTTTCTGATTAAAATTTACTCTTCTGTTAAACTAGGGTGATACCTTTCAAATTTTTCTGAAAATAAAACTAATAACATATATGAAGGACCTAACTCAATGTGTTTCCTAGACTAGGTAATTTTGGAACTATTCTTCAAAAAAAAAAAAAATTTTTTTTGAGACAGAGTTTTTGCACTGTTTCCCAGGCTGGAGTGCAATAGGGTGATCTTGGCTCACTCTGTCTCCTCGTTTCAAGTGATTTTCCTGCCTCAGCCTCCCGACTAGCTGGGATTAGAGGGGCCCACCACCATGCCAGACTAATTTTTGTATTTTTTTTTTTTTCTTTTTAGTAGAGATGAGATTTCACCATGTTGGCCAGGCTGATCCCAAACTCTTGACTTCAGGTGATCCACCCACCTTGGCCTCCCAAAGCACTGGGATTACATGTGTGAGCCACCACACCCAGCCTTAAATTCTTATAGCCTTATTTCAGGGGTCTAAATTATTTGGCAAACAGGAGCTAAATATTTGTTTAAATGACCTGGCTAGGTTGAATCAGGATTTTGTAAAATGACCTAGATAGACTGAATCAAGATAAGGGACTAAATATATGAGCCACTCAACTTCCTAAAAATCAAGGAAAGGTTATTTATTTAAAAAAATGTAAAACTGGCTGAGCACAGTGGCTCACACCAGAAATCCCAGCATTTGGGATGCCGAGACAGATGGATCACCTGAGGTCAGGAATTCAAGACCAGCCTGGCCAACATTGGCCATCTCTACTAAAAATACAAAAATTAGCCGATCATAGTGGTGCATGCCTGTAGTCCCAGTTCGTCAGGAGGCTGAGGCAGGAGAATCACCTCAACCCAGAAGTTGGAGATTGCAGTGAGCTGAGATCACGCCATTGCACTCCAGCCTGGGCAACAGAGCAAGACCCTGTCTCAAAAAAAAAAAGCTGGGGGAGAAAAGAGAAGATTCAAGGAATTTCAGAGAAACAAAGAGCCAAGAGACAAGAGGATTATGTTTGTAAACAAAAATTCATAAGTGTGTGTGTTTGAAAAACCAAAAATAAAACACACCGCATTCCACTAGGTGAAACTGTTACCCCCTGGGTCAGTCTTCTGGGTCTTGCACCCACTAATCAGACAAATCACTGGCTCCTTCTGAAGGAAGACACCACAGCTGAAAACATGTGGGAAATAGCCCTGTGGATGTTCCAGGTTTGGAAATCACAGATCCTGGGAACAGTAAGTTTGGTTGGGAAAGCATGCAAAAGTAGTAGGGAAGATGACCCCAATCCTACCAATGTTTCCGTGATTCTAAATATCTAATATTAACAAAACACATTAGAACCTGTTTGTCCACTTGGCCTAGAGTAGCTGGACAATGAGATGGGTGGAGCCATGGTAGAATCCAAACTAGCTGATAATGTAACCCAGCTACAAGCACAAACTTGACAAGCTCCACCCATATGTTCAGAGCTTTTAGTCAATGTTTTAATCCCATTTTCTTTTTTTTTCTGAGACAGAGTCTTGCTCTGTCACCCATGCTGGAGTGCAGTGGCTCAATCTCAGCTCACTGCAACCTCCACCTCCCCGAGTTCAAATGATTCTTGTGCTTCAGTCTCCTGAGTAGCCGGGATTATAAGCATGCACCACCACACCCAGCTAATTTTTGTATTGTTACCAGAGATGGGGTTTCACCATGTTGACCAGGTTAGTCTCGAATTCCTGACCTCAGGTGATCTGCCCACTTCAGCCTCCCAAAGTGCTGGGATTACAGGCGTGAGCCTCTGTACCCAGCCAAATCGCATATTCTTAATTATGAGCAAATGGCTCCGGATCACCAACCATATGGGAAGATTCTAACATTAAAATTAGAAAATCCTCCCGTCCAAAATACATATGCACATCAGAAAAGAAAAGAACTTTGGAGAATAAAAGCTTGATAACAAGCACGAGAAACTCACCAATCATATTAAGAAATAAAATTAAGGAAGTCTTCTAAAAAATAAGGCTGAAAGGCAAAGAGGTAGATGGAAAACAGAACAGAAAAAGGATCAGACAAGTAAGTTTAGTATCTAGTTAGGAGTTCCAGAAAAAGAAGACAGAAATTGATATAAATCAATGAAGAAACAATTCAATAGAATGTCCCAGAATTGAAGGACATGGATTTTCAATATGAAAGATATGAAAGGGCCCAGTTCAGCATAATATATGAAATTAGACTGATATCAAGGCACTTAATTTGGAAAAGTAAGAATACTGGGGACAAAGAGAAGGTCCTCTGTACTTGCAGAGACAAAAATAAATCAGAGGATCTGGATTAAAATGACTTCAGACTGTTGACAGCAAATGTAGAAACAAGAAGATAATGGATAAATGTCTCTAAAATTCTGAAAGAAATTAATTTTTCTCAAAGGATCATTATAAATAAGAAAAAAATGAGTACACCAGTGGGCAAATACCATTAAAGAGTAAGCATAGAGAAGAGGAAATGTCAGTGGTCGATAAACAAAAGAAAATAATTTCTCAACCTCAGTAATAGTCAAGAAAAGTAAATCTAAACAGGAAGGTTATTTTTTCATTATCATGGTGAAATGTTGATGACAAAACTTTGGGGGTAGAAAAATTACCCAAATAATAATGTCAGTGCTCAGTCAAGCTTGAAGACCACTACTAGTCAAAAATCATCGCCTGATTTGAAATACATACACTGGTTTTGTGGGGGGATAGTGTTGATGATATGCCATGTTAGCCAGTGTGTAGGGAAAACAGAAGCTCTCCTATTCCTTGAGGACAGCTGAACAGTAGCTATACTGTCTATCCTAGCATTTCACTTCTAGGAACCCATCGTAGAAACACCTCTTTCTGTACAAAAGTATGCCTTCAAGGAAGTACTCTGAAGAATTGTAACCATAGATTAAAAAAAAGTGTTAACCCAGTTGTATATTGATAGAGTACAGTGTAGACTTACCATAAAGCTATTTGGAGAAACAGAAGTAACTCCATTCATACCACTCTGCATAGTTGTCCACACTATGCCAGGAATAAAAAGATTTTCAAAACTACATGTGTTATGATATTACCTTCTTTTGAGGTATGTAATTTAGCATTTTACTATAAAACAAATGGGAAGGAATAAACAACAAAATATTAACAATAATTATGGGGAGACTTTTACTATGTACTTTCATATTTTTATAGTGTTTTGAGATTTATATAATCACATCAGAAAAGAATAACTTTTAAAAAGAATACAATCAAAAAAAGAAGTAACTCTCAAAGTAACAACATTGAGGAATACCAGTAATTACCGTAATGAGACTGACATGGTTGCAGAAAACCAAATTTTATAATTTCTGAGGTTCCTGCTCTAAAATTTTGTGGTTTAATGGACTGTTACATGAGTCCTTTTGCAGAAACTATTTTAACCACACTAATACATGGAAAGTGCTGGTATTATGGTTTCTCCTACCCCATTTATTACTGCAGACATGAGTATGTCCTGAAACTTGGCTCTGACAACACTCTGCAGGAATGTGGTACTGGTCACCAAACAACATGAGCAGAGTGAGCATTACCCGTGCCACAGGTCGTCTGCCTATGAAGATTTAGACTCTAGTATGTTTCTTTCTGGTGACATTTGTTTTAAATAAAGTTACCTTTTCAGTGTTTTCCCTGATGGTCTAGAGTACCAATAAATTGTTTTTTCTTTTAAGGATGCAATTGCTTACCATATGACAACTTTGTAGATATTAATACCCAAATAAAGCTAAATTTTGGAAAATTTTTTTTTTCCTCCCTCATATTTATTTGTACAAATAGCACAGGAGGACCCCAGCCCCATGCAGATGGCAGCCCCGGGGGGTCGCACCAGTCCTTCTGTCCTCACATTGGCAGACAGAGATATCTACTCTGAAGCCTTTGTAGGGGCCTGGGCACCTTTGGGAGCCTGAGCTGGAACTGAAGCTGGAGCTGCAGCCTGGGCCTTGTTTTGATCCTTGGACTTGGCCTTGACTTTTGGCCGGCAGAGCCTGAGCCCCTTGGCAATGCGTGCACGAGCACGCTTCCCAAGCTTGGGGTGGGCAATGTAAGCAAGTCGATCAAGCTTGCGGCTGACACCCCCCTTTGGGATCTTGGGCTTAACCTCCTTGGGCTTTACGAGAACCTTGATGGCCTCGGCACGTGCACTCATGGCCTTGGCATTGTTGGCCTGCATCTTCCTTAGGCCCTTCTTGTTGTGCTTCTTGGCAAAGCGCATGTTCCTCAGGAACTTGGGGTCCACCCCCTTAAGAGATTCGTATCTTTGTGATTGGGGTTTCTTGATACCATTTCTGTGCCATTTTCGGGACTGGTTGTGTGTTGTGTGGTTCTTGGACTTGGCCATGT